ACACACAGATGGAAATATTGTACACACAATTCTCAAGTTGGGCAGGAATATGGCAATTTGGCATTTCAGGGGGCAATAAGAAAACACCCCACTGGCAACCTCCAACATTTATCCTATCGGGAGTAGGCACCACCAAAGATAAACAAATGTCAAACATCAAACTGGGAACATATTCTAACACATTCTCATATTGCTTGTAGATTTGTGAAAATTCACACAGCTTATATAATGTTAAATTATTGTAAATAGTAGTTGATATCAACTTTATATCATTACTACAAACTTGAAAATGAAAAATTGCAACGATCAGCTGATCGAATGCGCAGATGCCCTATTTGGAGGAAATGTCAATTTTGCCAAACCTCTTGCAACGTCGTAGAGTTTTGTTCTTGGTTCAAATCCATATGGTCTTCTCTGCAGTGATGGAAACATTCCAACCGAAATTATCAAAAGTTGATTCGATACCCCTTTCTCTCCTAACTCAGCAGTTAAAGGTCACGTTCTTTTGTTAGCCAAAGATTCCAAATGAAAACATTGCGGCAGCCATTTTGAGGAAATTATCAAGGGCGGGTAACTCTGTCAAAACCAGAATCCTCGTTCCATGGAGAGCAATTTTACCAAACATCTTCAGACAAGAATTGTAAATCCAAATTTACTTTCTGACTGACTGAGCTTATATTTTTGTATCTGATAATCTTTCGCCGAACGCACATTTAATTTTCACGGCCAACCAGAAATGTGACATATATTCTAAGAATAATAATTCAAGTGGTTTAGCTTAGATTTTATGACGCTTTATTAATGTAAGAGCGGACAGAATTCAATGGATGCCTTCCCTTGATCCAGTAATTTGCCCAATGCTACATGGAATCCTAGGAGGGGCATCATCGTGTTGTCGCCCTTAAAAAAGAACCAAAAAGTGTGAAATTAACCAAGCACGACAACGCGACAATGTACCTTCTATAATTCCATAGCATGTAGCATTGAAATAACGATCGTACATGGAGTAGTCTCGATTTGAAGGCAAACAAATGCATGTAATATTCATTTTTCGTGTTCAGTAACTTCTTAGTGAAGGAAACCCTTTCAATATTATTTTAGTTTTCACAATTAAAGGATCATAATTAAAGGGACATATTTGTACATTAATATTTAATTACCATAAGAAACAACTCGGGTCGTTTCATAAAAAGGATGACAATTCACAGCGTTCACTGTCTAATATAGTCATCGATAAATGAACCTACAATTGTGTTTGTCTGTTGTTTGTTGTTGTTTAACGCCGCACTCAGCAATATCCCAACTATATGACGGCAGTCTGTAAATAATCGAGTCTGGATCAGACAATCCAGTGATAGACGCCAAAAGCATCGATCCACGCAATTGGGATCGATGACATGCATCAACCAAGTCAGCGAGTCTGACCACCCGATCCCGTTAGTCGCCTCTTACGACAAGCATAATCGCCTTTTACGGCAAGCAGGGGTTGCTGAAGACCTATTTTACCCCGGATCTTCACGGGTCACCTGCAATTGTGATCTAATATCACTGTATATGAGGATGGGAAGAATGAGCTTCCAAAATCTAAAATACGGGAGAACAACGTGTTCAGAAGGACACTGCTATAATTTACCTGACACGCAGATACGAACTGTACGTAAACAGTAGGCAAGTATATATCATCACCTGAAGGTCACGAGCTTCATTTACTAGGGCCCAGTAGGTATGAATGCGCGTTTGAAAATATGTATAAATATAGAACGGAGAAGACAATGTGAGTGTGTCACTTTTGCCTTTGTGTTTACAAATCACACAATAAAATATGTTTAATAATGTTTTGTTAAAAATTCTTAATCTTGCAATACGTTAAACTTCTCATTCAGAAACCAAATTGTCAGACTAACTCTTAACAAGGGTGACCTGGTCATTTTGTGACATCGAAGAAGACGGGAGACGCTCAAGCAGCTCTCACACTTTGCCGAGGTGGTTGCCGAGGTGGTTGCCGAGGTGGTTGCCGAGCTCACCCGAGCCTAACTCGGTTAGGCCTCGCGGGAAGAGACTACATATATACGAGTATCATACGAGTACGCTACGAGTATGTTACGAGCCCCACAGGAGTCCAATAGGAGTCCAATAGGAGTCCAAGAGGAGTCTAATAGGAGTCTCTTAAGAGTTGCATACAAGCACAACGATCTCGATACGAGCTGTACGAGTTTGGTACGACTTTGGTACGAGGTGGCACACTCGTATAGCTCGTATTAGACTCGGTCAACTGGGCAATACACTTTGCAGACGATCCTCATACGAGTTCTGTACGAGCACCACGAGGTCGCCACGAGGGTATTACGAGTAGGACGAGTGTGTTAGGAGTTTGTTAGGAGTTGGCTGGCGGCCCGACTGTTTTGAGCAGTTCCAAAACTCTCGTAGATCAGTACGAGGTATCCCGAGTCACCCCGAGTTTAGTACGACCTCGCTACGAGCACCATACGAGTACCCCCGAGTCAGCTCGGGTCCATACTTGGCAAAGTGTGAGAGCCCCTTTAGTAATTACAACTCGTATCGTACCTCGCACCACACCACCGTGCTGATCAACACAATGGGACAATGTAAGAACGATTCGTTAGATAAGATTATTGCGAAGGGTGCCAAAAGAATTAAGTTTACCCGAGTGTCGGATAGCTGAACAATGCCTCATGTGGACGATGCACCGCCTTATCTAAAAGTATCTAAATCTAAAATAACAAACAGAAATTTGCATAATAATAATAATCATACCACCCGTGCATGCACCTCATACATTACAGCTTGTTTGAAATGAACTCGCCACCAAATTTGGTGAGTGAGTGAGTGAGTGGGTTTTACGCTGCTGCTAGCACTATTCAAGAGCTCTAATCACGGCCGGGGACACAAGAAATGGGCTTCACACATTGTACATGGGGGGCATCAGGCCAGGGCCATCCGCGTGACAAGCGAACGCTTCAACCTCTAGGCTATACCGCCACCCCTTTAGTGAAATGAACTCACCACCAAATTATGTTGGGTTTTACGCCTTGTGCAATATACCGCAATATCACATCGGGGGACACCAGAAATGGACTACACACATTGTAACCAGGTTGGAAATCGAACCCGGGCCTTCGGCGTGACGAGGGAACGCTTTAACAGCAAGGCTACACTACCACCCTTAAGCGAATGAGTGCGTTGGGTGAAAGACAGGCTCCACAGTCGGATTGCCTATGTTCAGCACAGATCAAAACTTTGCAGTAAATGCCTTGTGTAAAACTGTTAACTGATGATTAAACATTTCATGATGAAATTTCAGTGAGCAGACAAAGAAATTAGTTTTTGAACAACTTGAATACAATTTGCTGGCGACTGCCAATTTGACCGAACGAAATACACCTTTAATTAGGGCCATGAGTTGTATATATGTGTACAACCATAACGTATATATAAGAGGGTAGCAACCGGTTTTAGCTATAGGTCATCTGGGTCATTCAGATTAACCGTTGTCCATTAGGTTTAATACTACGTATCAATATCAGACTGAGTTGAGTGTGGTCATCTGACAAAAATCGTCCAAAAAGTATGGTAATGTTAATAATTATATTGTTTAGGCTTGTTATTTATCCACTGAGTTGTATTATTATTCATGTCGTGTTGTTATCTACGAAGCCTCGTTGACCCGTCGCAGCGGACGGCTCGGCTATCAAACGCCGTTGTCTTAACCTCTAGACGGGTTATATCGCATTAGGAAATGTAATCAGTTTGTGTACGGACAATGTTTCTCAAAGCCATGGGTCTCTGTCGAAATATAAATAAAACTAAGGTAGGATGTGAAAAGAAATATGTCTTTGTTTGTTTTTTGTTTAGCGCCGCACTCAGCAATATTGCAGCGGTATGACGGCGGTCTGTAAATAATCGAGTGAGTCTGGATCAGACAATTTAGTGATTGCCATCGTGAGCATCGGTCCACGCAATTTGGATACGATGACATGTATCAACCAAGTCAGTAAATCTATATTTAACACTGGCATTTTTGGGAAATGGGACTGACCATTTATTAGCATTTATGCAGAGAAACACCAGTGAAGCTATGAATATGATTTATCTCGCGCTTTGACCTTTGCGGGTCCAAACATTAATCACTTAACAGTGTGTGATATCATTTTTCTTAACATTATTAGGCTTGGTGGTAACTATAAAAATTCCTTTTATCCATCATTCCTGATTATGAGGGTCGTCGGATCACTGAATCAAGGGGTATAACATCGCCTTCATATTACCCGTTTAAGCCATGGTTCACAAGAGAATTCATGCATGTTTATTTGTTTGTAATTGTTTGTTGTTTAACGCCGCACACAGCAATATTCCGGCTATATGACGGGGGTCTGTAAATAATCGAGTCTGGACCAGACAATCCAGTGATTGACATCAGGAGCATCGAAACACTCAGTTGGGATACGATGACATGCATCAACCATGCCAGCGAGTCTAACTACCTGATCCCTTCACCACCTGACTTGAAGAATGAAGAATGACACTTTGTACTTAATGACGCTCAAGCACCAATACAAAATTTCATAAATAGCAAATGTTACCGCCATATTCACAAGATTTGTTTGTTTTGTTTGCTTGTTGTTTAACGCCGCACTCAATATTCCAGCCATATGGCGGCGGTCTGTAAATAATCGAGTCTGGACCAGACATTCCAGTGATTGACATCATGAGCATCAATCCACGCAATTGGGAAGATCTCAGGAACACAACAACCTATAGGACCCCCCCCCCCCCCCCCCCCCCCTGCAAAGCAAGCATAGGTATTATGCATTATCTTTAAGTGACGGCTTACTTCGTTCATTTCTAACGGAGCTCAGGTTTTCTTCATTTTCGATAATGACTTGCCTTTGTAACACGTGACCCTTCGTGTCATACGAAAAAGACCGAGTAGTGACGAATGCCACCTTTATGTTTATGGTCAGTTCAGGACAACTAGTAGGAAGTTTCACATCGATTTATTATGTTTCATCAACAACAAACAATATACATACACGACACGTGAGCTGTGATGGAAATGAAGTGTTATGGACACATGCATGACAATCAATGATGACATCTTCAAATTATCATCATCACCAACACCATCGCAACATAACGTCATCTACCCAGTGTCTTGCACATTGTGTCGAGGATCACTGCGTTGTTTTCCGTTTCTAAGTTACATAATCATAAAAATATCACAATCAGCATAACTGGTAGGATACGAATAATATCACCATCTGGTTTGTTTCCGTAAATAATTGGCGTGAGCAAGAATAATTATTCAACGTCACATCGGGACTATTTGTGCCATTTATAGCGACCTGCCCAAAACGATCTTAGTGCTAAGATGACCGCAACTCCCATACTTTAACATAGGCTTACGATAGTCTTAGCGCTAAGATCGCTCTGTGCAAGTGGGCCCAGGAATGTCTTTACGAGAGAGCGAGTGTGTGGTTGGGCTCAACGCTCTTTGGAACAATAATTCAGTTACACCACGTGTGGGGGTCGTAAATATGGATGTATGGTGACACTGATGGACCCAGGGCAAGCAAGCCAAGTCGAGAATAAACTTCGAACCAAAGGCCTTCGGATTTCTGGTTCAAACTGTACGCTCATGCGCATGCGTAAGTCTGAGACATATTTAGCAAAACAAAATCAGAGACCATATATCGGTATATGGTCTCTGACAAAATGGATGAAAAGCTGAGGACATTAAAATAAAACAAAATGAAAGTTTTTTTAAAGACTCTCTAGCGCCGTCCAGTTTCGTGATGTATTGACGTTTTGATCAGGAACAAGGAGGGTGATAATGTCTTTGAGATCAGACGACATTGGTCCCAGGTGTTTGTTAGCTATGCTCAGTTCCACATGAAGACATGGCTGTCTGTAAGGCCTGTCTGGTATATTATGGATACTGTCTTAAGGCCTTATGCAAACCATGGATTAAGGCTACGACTGGTTTTCCTGAAGAGCGCACAATGTATATGTGTAGTAGCCTTGCCAATCTCCGTTCTTGACCAACTGAATTGAATTCCTTGTGTAATTTATTCCCACGCATTTACCAATTGTCTGCTAACAGTCAGTAAAATGTCTCAATACCAAGAACATTGGTAATGTAATGTTCGACTGGGCCGTAGCCTGCCAAAGTCAAGTTTTGATTCCCATTGAAAGACTTGTGGATGGACTAAGGACACGGGGAGACAACTCTTGTGGCACTACTTAACGGATTTGTCGCATAGCATTTCCATAACTCTCCGCGGTGCTTCTTCGGGGAGTTTTTCGGGTTCTGTGAGAATGCTTGAGTTGAGACTTATATGCCGCAGTGCTGATAAAACACCTGAAATGAAACGCATTTTTATAGAATTCAGTCAGAAAAAGACAACTAAAACAATTAATGTCAAAGCTCTTTACGAGAGACAAAACCCCGTGAAGATCCTCTTTAGAATAGGTCCTCAGGTACCCATGCGTGTCGTAAGAGGCGACAAACGGGATCGGGTGCTCAGGCTCGCTCACTTGGTTGATGCATGTCATCGTATCCCATTTGCGTAGATCGATGTTCATGGTGTCAATCACTGAATTGTTTCGCCCAGACTCGATTATTTACAGACCGCCTTCATATAGCTGGAATATTGCTGAGTGCGGCGTTAAACAACAAACACGAGTGGCAAATACTTAAGTTAAGTACACACTGCGTGAGTGAGAAAGTGAGTTCAAAAAGTGAAATAATGATTATCTAGTTTGTTGTATCAATCAAATTACAGGACAGAAATTCTTTGAGAAGACACTGATGCAAGAGACGGTGACAGTAACGTCGAAGCATTGTGAAACGATTGGGTCCAAGGAGGTATCATAATTAAATGGAGACTAGGGGTTATCGAGGATGCAGCCGTAATTAGGGCTTTCGGTAGAAATAGAAGACAAGAAACTGTTAAGCAGGTACTCACATGGCCTGAGATTGACGAGAGTTAGGTGTTCGTGCGCCCAGTCCCGCACGGTCTGGAGGAAGGAGGTGGTTGTGACGCTGGTCACTACGCGGCTGTAGGATTCGAACAGTGGACGCAGTATCACACTGAACTGGCGCGAGTCAAGGAACAAACTGCTTCCATTTGATAAAATACCCATGTAAAGAATTCGGGTGAACTACAACCCAATTTCCCTTCCTTGTGGGAAGAGATGACAAAAATAAGAAGAAGCTTTGAGACATTTAGCTAAACTGGTACCCCGGGGCTGGTGCGCACAAGCTGCAGACTTGCTTTGCAGTATATAACCGCAATGTGAACACAATTCGCTTGCTAACTTCAGTTTAGTCACACATTTTTTATTTTTCGTTTCACGGGACCGTCGCTCCTTATGTAAAGCAGCAGATAAAGAAATACATGAAACATAAATATATTTATTTTGATTAAGTCCCCCGCTAGTAATGTAGACCCTCACATGAAAATTAAAATTTATTCCATCACGACAGTGATTCAAGAAGCCAGCTGCAGTTTTAACTCCATGACAGAATGACTGTCATATAAATAATTAATGACTGAAATAGCTATTTATTTTTACCTTTTACCTTGTTTGGAAAAGCTGGAATAAATCGTGAAACATAAAATTTAAAAAAAAGTGACCTCAGAATCCTCGGAGTCAGATACTGTGACTGAGTGGGGTATCCATGCTAAAACTGCTGCTTGGTATCATGGTGGGCTAGCAATATGAAACTCCCATTAGGGCTACTATTACAAACAGCCACACGGATGTGTATCGCTATATATTAAAGTGCGATAATCTTGACGCGAAGTTAAACCCCATTTCACCTCATCTTGAAATATTGTGGTTGAAATTAGTACACACCTCTTTCCTATTCACCAATTACAATGTTCGCAGTTATGCATGGCGACAAGTTGCGTTTGGGCTATACATTTCAGTGAAAGGATACGATCCAGAACTTCCAGTTTTCTTGTGTTCTTGACTTGAGATAGTCTCTGTACATCGTTTCCAGGTGGCAGGCTGGCTTTTCAACAACGGCAATGCCCGTGGCCGGAAGTTGTTGATGAAACGTCATGATTTGCGCGTTCAAGTCTGCTATTTCCTGTCTGAGTGCTTGCAGTTCGTCTTGTTGACTCTTCAAATCAAACTTCAGCCCACGAACATGTTCGGCAGCTGTAATGAAAGATAATGACTTGATTAATTACTCCTATAGTATGGTGATCAATATGGTGACAGGTCACACGTGGTACAGCGCACAGATCATATATTCTACTCCAAAGAAGTAAAAGAAGATCCGATTTTTTTGTCATATGACTTACAGTTAATCTGTCTTGCCATGAACTATAACCATAGGGAAAAATCGGCCGTTTTTTAACTTCTATTCGGTAGTATCATTAAGCAACTTTGGTCGCAGAGTGTAGATGGCATCTTCCCGAGGCAAGGGAGTTAACTGACATTAAAGTCCAGTTTCCACCCTTGCCGAACTTGGCTGGAGTTATGGTGTTATATTTTGGCTGGACTAACGAGTCTATGCATATCCCATTCAAAATCGCGTAACGAAATCAAAATCCAGTTCGTTAACTGCCGTGCAGAATTCGGGCAATTGCAGGATTTGCAAAGCTGGTGTACCGTTAAATCGGCGCCAACAGCTATTTTCCAAACCTTTTCTGTTTTTAATCAAGGTGTTTTGAAGCACTTCGCGAGGAAAGACCTGTTTTATTACTTTACAGATCTTGTTTATCGGTCAGATTGTCTGGGCGTCCACATTTTGCTTGAAGCAAATGCACGTGACATGAAAGGCTGAATCCTGATTGGTCAATAGGGGGTACAAAGAAGGGATATCACTCGCAATTGCCACTGTCAGCATTACGATCGAGCCCAGAATTTCCAGCCTTGTTCGTCAAGGGTGGAAACTTGACTTTTAAAGTCAGTTAACTCCCTTGCCTCGGGAAGATGTGTAGATGGATGACCTTTTGTGTATGTTTAGGCAAGTGGCTTTGTTCGAAGTACACCTCTGTTGAGCAGCAGAGAATGGATACCCGGTAGAATGAGATGGTTATGTGACTCTGAACCTAGCACTCCATGAACTTAAAGTAGCTTTGATTGTATGCTCCCAAGAGAGTTCATGGAGATCGGTTGGCCCATGTCAAGCTGGGGTTGCCTGGAGGGAGAACGTTGGCGTTCGTCACATGAATGTACATGAATACACTTGAATAATCAATGCGCAATACACGGGTACAATGGCGGGGTACCCATCTGGGAAATCGAACCCGGGTCTTTCGTGTAACGAAAGCGAACTAACTCATACACTGATCACAGGACCATGAGACTAATATTAATAACAAACAAACTCGCAGACGAACCTCTCATACACTGATCACAGGACCATGTGACTAATATTAATAACAAACAAACTCGCAGACGAGTTTTTGCGAATTTGTTTCAGGGAGCCTATCAATCACATGAACCTGTGCACTGATGTGCATAAATAGTGTTTCGAATTAATACCTTTGTGTAACTTTGCGGATTTACTTTCTTTGGTTGAAATGTTTTTTTCCTCTGCGAGAGCTGGCACGAGTTCTTTTAAGGTTTCAAACCCCGTCTGAAATAGAAAAATGATAATGCCATCTTTCATTTGAAGCAAACATTTTGTAAACAAGGGCAGGTAACTCTGAACTCACTGTAATGTTACAGCAGGTGAACCTTCACAATGGCTGAACAACAAAGCGGTTTAGTCTAAACAAGAAAACAACGTTATCATGCACTATCCCCCGCCATGACGCATATTAGTTTGTTTGTTCATATAGTAGTGAACATAAACTATAAATAAGAGCCCCATAAAGCCTTAAGAAGAGATGGGCACTTCGACAGCATTTTGTCATCAGAAAAAAATGATTAAATGTGAAATTAATGCACACAAAAGGAAAAATATAACTCAGTGTTGATAAGTATAGCTTACTCTTTGATAAGCTAACATCAGTTGTTTCTGAGAAAACGTGTTACCATTGCACAAACAACTTGGATCGAAGGCCGTAACTCTGTAGACAAATTAATTGCCGGGACCAATGTTCCAACTCAGTCTTGACAAGTATCTCTTAGATAAGCATGCAAAGTTTCATTCATTTAACTTCAGTAGTTTTTGAGAAACCTTGTCCCCATTTCAAATAGAAACTACTTTGTTGAAAATCACGGAGCAAGGGCCATAACTTTGTAAAAATTGAATTTACGACATCATTTTTCGAACTCATTTAAAGGCATGACCAGTAACACCAGGGTGGGTGCAAAATTTCATTTCTCCGACTTAAATAGTTTTTTGGAAAAAAATTGTCCCCTTTTAGAACCGGAGGGACGGACGGACGCTACTTCGTGGCAGGGATAATTATATAACCTGGTGTACAAATTCTGTTAAACATAAATATATTGTTTTGCACAAAATAACAAGTAAAAAAAGCACAGGTTCATGTACATTTGCAAGTCGTATAAATGATACCCATAAACATAGTAACTTGAAAAAATGTTGACCATACATTTTACAGTGGGAAAATCCTGGAAATCCTATCACTGAACGTACCTGTATCTTATTTCTCCTTCGATGCTCGGCGTTAATGTGAGAGGATCTCTTGTGGCGAGGGAGCGGATTGACTGGTCTCCCACCCCGGGGATTCGGTGACACGGGGGAGAGGGAGGGGGCAGGCAACGTCGGAGAGGGGCAGGAGACGGCGGGACAATCCGGTAACGGTGGGACGGAGAACAACGATTGTGCGGTGGTTGATTCTGGTTGTAACTGTAATACGAAAAAAATATTTATGATTAAATTCAAGTATTTTCAATTTGAAAATTAGCCTGTGAAAAATGTATCGCCGGAATTACTGGATGAAAGAAAAGTCCTTTAATATTTTATTTTTTTAAATCCTCGGTATGAATTTTGATTTAGAACAGCTTGAAAATTAAATGCAAATTCATCTTTTGAAACGAAAGATTAATAACATTTATGACAAAGTAGACACAATTTATGGATAACAACTTCTTTAATTACTGTAAAGGCGACGTTTCGGTATAGATCCTTATACGGTTGTCAAGCAAGTCGTCTACTTTGTCATCCGTCAGCTAAGGAATGCCTATCAAACAATTTAATAAGCTTAATGTTCGTGATACTTAGATCAGTGAACGATAATATAAAGTATACTACCAAGTTTTAAAACAACTCATAAAAACCCGTAACTTAAACATCCTAATACAACACTTGTCTAAATAAGTTTTAGAAGAACAGGTATATGTATTTGTACATTGAAAGGTTTAAAAACCTGTCAAGGAAGTTGTAGGTAGTTACAAACGAGTCTCATAGCATCCATCACTCTACAAAGAGATATCGTCTCGCAGTTTATGTCACACTAGAAAGTGTGCTTCACTAGATGCAACGGGGAATCATCCACGTGTTTCATGTCGCTTCACTACAAATCCCACGCCCCCACCAGCGTGCAATCCGATTGGCTGGCAGCTGTGTATCCCTTTCAATCATTGGTTAGCTCAAAGGGCACGAAATCAATACAACATGTGGCGGTTCACGGACAACATAATAAGAACGCCATTCGATAAAAAATTTCGTATAAAATCAAACCATGATAAACACTACTTTGCAAATAGCAAATCATCATAACATAATCATCTACATAGGTAATAATGCCACAGTTTAGGAAAACAAAAGAAAAAAAATCATCACAAAAATATTATTCATAAAAATATTTCGGAAATTAATAAGTGATGAATTCAAAAAGAAATACCTGTAACTTTCCTATAAACTCGTCACCAAAACTGAGGTATTCGTCCTCCAGCGAAAGCAACAGAAAATCAGTGTTGTACTGATCACTCGACATTCTGCTCCAATGCTTTGCTTGTAATAGTAGAGGGAGTTGCGTTCACTTGTGTAGGCGCCTCATATCATATCCATCCCACAATGCACCACTTTTTTCGAAAACTGTCGATATGCTTCATTGGGAAGAATTTTATCCTAAGAGACCTTATTCATCTTTTACGGATTACCAAAAGTAAAAATAAATAAATGAGTAAATATAAAGACTGCATTTTTTACAAAAGGAATAATTAGAACTTTTATACGTCTAACCAATCTTGAAAACAGTTTTGAATTATATATTTTGTCATTTTGCCTTCGAAAATCCGAAAAATCAAGGTTTTTGATTAAAACTAGCCGGCGGGATTTCACCAAATGAAAGTAATTTGTAATGAAATACATTTATTTTCTTAACATATTCGCGAGTGCAAATTTGCTTAAAATATTTTTCAACAAACCGCTTTGAAATATTTGTTTTTATTTCAAAACATAATATGTTCAAATAAAAAAAATTGATTCAAAATGCTATAATGAAAGTCTGGAGGCATAAATAATACTTATCTAATTGTAGTACCTCTGTCACTGTCACATGATCGCAAGATAAACGCCACGGTTAATTGCTAATGACAACTTTGTTTCAATGATATACCTTTAGATTCGGAAAATAAACATAATATTTTATAAAAATAGTGGCTTGATATTTTTAATGTTTGTTGATATTATCTCATGACTTGGCCATTGGTATTTTAACACTAATCACCAAATTTCTTGCAATACTTCCTAACATCTGTATCATGCTTGATAAGTATATACAAATGTATGAAAACACAACAAATTAATATTTTCGTCTCTTCCCAATTATCTCGTTCGCTATAACTGTATTATTCTTATTCCAGAGTCACCTCCTTTCCTCCCAAACCCGAATGTATTCCATACGTTTCCCGCTAACATTACTCGTGCATGTATATGCACACTATGTTCCAGGCCCGTGAAGATCCGGGGTAGAACAGCAACCCATGCTTGCCGTAAAAGGTGACCATGCTTGTCGTAAAAGGTGACTATGCTTGTCGTAAAAGGCGACTAACGGGATCGGGTGGTCAGGCTCGCTGACTTGGTTGATACATGTCATCGATCCCAATTGCGTGGATCGATGCTCATGACGTCAATCACTGGATCGTCTGGTCCAGACTCGATTATTTACAGACCGCCGTCATATAGCTGGAACATTGCTGAGTGCGGCGTTAAACAACAAACCTATCAACCAACCAGGAAGCGTATGTCGTAATGTTATCTAGGCTTAATTATCAATGTATACCCTCCGTTTCCATGTATTTCTACCCTCTCAGGAAGCGATCGGGTAGCTTGATTGATAACCTGATGACATAGAAAGCAAAGGTTTCACTCCCTAAACGGTGAAGCTATTTAGCTCATGCTATTCCAAAAGGCCAACTGGCCACTCTACTGTACATCTGCAATACAAACAACGGTGAAAGAAACTCACTCATGCACTATAGCTGAAAAATGCTGACGTGACGTAAAATATCAACTCATAAAAATATCAACATGCATATATTATATCGCTACCAACTGAGACATGCGGTGTTCATTAGCAAGTGTGTCGGTGTCTGTATGTACACTATAAAAAGGCACATAGCCAAACCATCTTATATCGTACTGGGGCAACGTTCATTAATATCATCAGGACGTATATCAGAGTTCAATATATTTATTTATTCACCAACAAGAGATCAGAGAGTGACGTCATTTTTCACGTGGCAGCGTCATCTCAACCACCGGGTGTTATGTGACGTCACACGCTGACCATAGGAAAATATTTCTTTTATGTTTTAATATTTTTAAACAACGGAATTGGTCGCGATCATACACGTTTGAATATTACTAACGATCATTGAATATGTTCGAGTAATAAATTCCGCGTGATATCTCTTAACTTCACCCACGAAATACTTTCCTGACAAAATACAATATTTAAAACATTTAGTCAACATACTATCTGTCTATTTGTAATTCTTACATGTTCACACGTGTGCACAAAATTAGTTTATGTTATATTCTTGTGAAACATGCAACTGCATGGGCTTGATACAAAGCGATGCATTCATTCAATACAGAAAACGTAGTTTGCCACACCACAACACTAATGCTATCACTGATGCTAGGTCACATGACTTGTGAGCATATCACGTGATATCCTATCGGAACACGGAGAAGCAATTGTCCCCTTACCTTCTCGTTTGATAATTCACCACGATGTCTTTGCAACCATATTTTCCTAGGGTCCCGCTTATGACTGCCAACCCTTTTTGGCAGTACTCTGATATTTCGACTTCGCTTACAGGGCCTTATTTTGCCTTCTATCGCTTCCTGTCTCAATCGTTCAACTCCGGCGCCGATGACATCCGAACGGCATGTTTTAGAAAACGTAGTCTCGATAGGCCTATGTGTCCGAGTCAATCTTGCTGGCAACATAAATTTAGTTGAGGTCACTTTGACTATGATCTTGATTTCGCCTTTGAAAGCCATAGCTATAACGTCTGTTCTCTTCGAGATAAAGTCTGGATAAGAAGAGGAAGGACGATCCCGACGTGGTTTTATTACTGCTCTTTCACAGCCTGATTCACACATGCGGCCGCGTTTGAGACATCACGTGTGCAGGCGCTCGTCACTAATGGAAAGTCGCGAAATCACCCATGGTTGCCGCGGTCGACTTACTGAGTTTATTGTCACAGTTATATATGGCGGCATGTGAAACTACACTCGTCCACGTGTGATCGAAATGATAGATTGGTTTACCATGTAAAAATAACTAAACATGACGCGTCTCCAATGAAGGCTTTTGTGCGTCTATTTTGGTCCTGCAACACACGAACACGAGCACACGTGGAGACCGGCCCCAGGTTAAACGACGTGTTGGCATGTAATTTGTTTTAATGCAAAATCATGAATTGATGATACTTTGAAACATAATATACCAAGGGATGTTGCCTGAAAACCAAGTCCCCGTTTTACTGAAAACCAAATGATACAAATGACTGGCATTGTAGGAAAAAGACCATCTGCTCTCATCTTGCAGACTATCTAACAATGATTAAAGAACACAGTTCTTTAGTTTATTTAATTAATATATTTTTTAGATGGAGCGCCGGTTTATGTTGGGGGAAAATTAATTGCACAACACATTTAAAACATGCTGATCAACAAACACACACACACACACACACACACACACACACACACGGGTACAGGGAACAGAAGACATGTGAATCACGTCAACAGAGCATAGGGTACTGGGTACAGCAGGCATGTGCATCACGTCAATAGGGGGTACTGGGGACAGCAGGCATGTGTATCAGATCAATATGGGGTACTGGGGACAGGAGACGTGCATCACGTCAATAGGGGGTACTGGGGACAGCAGACAAGTGTATCACGCCAATATTGGGGACAACAGACACGTGCATCACGTCAATAGGGGGTACTGGGGACAGCAGGCATGTGTATCACGCCAGTATGGGATTCAGGGGACAGCAGGCATGTGTATCACGTCAATATGGGGTACAGGGGACAGCAGACATGTGTATCACGCCAATATGGGGTACTGGGGACAGCAGGCACGTGCATCACGTCAATAGGGGGTACTGGGGACAGCAGACACGTGCATCACGTCAATAGGGGGTACTGGGGACAGCAGACACGTGCATCACGTCAATAGGGGGTACTGGGGAAAGCAGACGTGTATCACGTCAATATGGATTACAGGGGACAGCAGACATGTGTATCACATCAATATGGATTACTGGGGACAGCAGACATGTGTATCACGCCAATATGGGGTACTGGGGACAGCAGACATGTGTATCACGTCAATATGGATTACTGGGGACAGCAGACATGTGTATCACGCCAATATGGGGTACAGGGGACAGCAGACATGTGTATCACGTCTAGGGGGTACTGGAGACAGCAGACAAGTGTATCACGTCAATATGGATTACTGGGGACAGCAGACACGTGTATCACTTTAATAGGGGGTACTGGGGACAGCAGACATGTGTATCACATCAATATGGGGTACTGGGGACAGCAGACATGTGTATCACGCCAAAATGGGGTACTGGGGACAGCAGGCATGTGTATCACGTCAATATGGGGTACTGGGGACAGCAGGCATGTGTATCACGTCAATAGGGATTACTGGGGACAGCAGACACGTGCATCACGTCAATAGGGGGTACTGGGGACAGCAGACATGTGTATCACGCCAATAGGGGGTACTGGGGACAGCAGACATGTGCATCACGTCAATAGGGATTACTGGGGACAGCAGACACGTGCATCACGTCAATAGGGGGTACTGGGGACAGCAGACGTGTGTATCATGTCAATAGGGGGTACTGGGGACAGCAGACATGTGTATCACGTCAATATGGATTACTGGGGACAGCAGGCATGTGTATCACATCAATATGGGGTACTGGGGACAGCAGGCATGTGTATCACGCCAATATGTGGTACTGGGGACAGCAGACACGTGCATCACGTCAAAATGGGGTACAGGGGACAGGAGACATGTGCATCACGCCAATATAGGGTACTGGGGACAGCAGACACGTGCATCACGTCAATAGGGGGTACTGGGGACAGCAGACACGTGCATCACGTCAATAGGGGGTACAGGGGACAGCAGACATGTGTATCATGTCAATATGGGGTATTTGGGACAGCAGACATGTGTATCATGTCAATTTCCACCAATATATATATACGTCCTGTGAGAAGGCAGGGAGTGGCGCAGTCGATGTGTATATACGGTCACGTAAGACGGCAGGGGGTGGTTCCGTCGATGTGTATATACAGGTCACGTAAGACGGCAGGGAGTGGTTCAGTCGATGTGTATATACGGTCACGTAAGACGGCAGGGAGTGGTTCAGTCGATGTGTATATACGGTCACGTAAGACGGCAGGGAGTGGTTCCGTCGATGTGTATATACGGTCACGTAAGACGGCAGGGAGTGGTTCAGTCGATGTGTATATACGGTCACGTAAGACGGCAGGGGGTGGTTCCGTCGATGTGTATATACAGGTCACGTAAGACGGCAGGGAGTGGTTCAGTCGATGTGTATATACAGGTCACGTAAGACGGCAGGGGGTGGTTCCGTCGATGTGTATATACTGGTCACGTAAGACGGCAGGGAGTGGTTCAGTCGATGTGTATATACAGGTCACGTAAGACGGCAGGGGGTGGTTCAGTCGATGTGTATATACAGGTCATGTAAGACGGCAGGGGGTGGTTCAGTCGATGTATATATACAGGTCACGTGAGAAGGCAGGGAGTGGCGCAGTCGATGTGTATATACAGGTCACGTAAGACGGCAGGGAGTGGTTCAGTCGATGTGTATATACAGGTCACGTAAGACGGCAGGGGGTGGTTCAGTCGATGTGTATATACAGGTCACGTAAGACGGCAGGGAGTGGTTCAGTCGATGTGTATATACAGGTCACGTAAGACGACAGGGAGTGGTGCAGTCGATGTGTATATACAGGTCACGTAAGACGACAGGGAGTGGCGCAGTCGATGTGTATATACAGGTCACGTAAGACGACAGGGAGTGGTGCAGTCGATGTGTATATACAGGTCACGTAAGACGACAGGGAGTGGTGCAGTCGATGTGTATATACAGGTCACGTAAGACGACAGGGAGTGGTTCAGTCGATGTGTATATACAGGTCACGTAAGACGGCAGGGAATGGTTCAGTCGATGTGTATATACAGGTCACGTAAGACGGCAGGGAATGGTTCAGTCGATGTGTATATACAGGTCACGTAAGACGGCAGGGGGTGGTTCAGTCGATGTGTATATACAGGTCACGTAAGACGACAGGGAGTGGTTCAGTCGATGTGTATATACAGGTCACGTAAGACGGCAGGGAATGGTTCAGTCGATGTGTATATACAGGTCACGTAAGACGGCAGGGAATGGTTCAGTCGATGTGTATATACAGGTCACGTAAGACGGCAGGGGGTGGTTCCGTCGATGTGTATATACAGGTCACGTAAGACGACAGGGAGTGGTGCAGTCGATGTGTATATACAGGTCACGTAAGACGACAGGGAGTGGTTCAGTCGATGTGTATATACGGTCACGTAAGACGGCAGGGAGTGGTTCAGTCGATGTGTATATACGGTCACGTAAGACGGCAGGGGGTGGTTCCGTCGATGTGTATATACAGGTCACGTAAGACGGCAGGGAGTGGTTCAGTCGATGTGTATATACAGGTCACGTAAGACGGCAGGGGGTGGTTCCGTCGATGTGTATATACTGGTCACGTAAGACGGCAGGGAGTGGTTCAGTCGATGTGTATATACAGGTCACGTAAGACGGCAGGGGGTGGTTCAGTCGATGTGTATATACAGGTCACGTAAGACGGCAGGGGGTGGTTCAGTCGATGTGTATATACAGGTCACGTAAGACGGCAGGGAGTGGTTCAGTCGATGTGTATATACAGGTCACGTAAGACGACAGGGAGTGGTGCAGTCGATGTGTATATACAGGTCACGTAAGACGACAGGGAGTGGTGCAGTCGATGTGTATATACAGGTCACGTAAGACGACAGGGAGTGGCGCAGTCGATGTGTATATACAGGTCACGTAAGACGACAGGGAGTGGCGCAGTCGATGTGTATATACAGGTCACGTAAGACGGCAGGGGGTGGTTCAGTCGATGTGTATATACAGGTCACGTAAGACGACAGGGAGTGGTTCAGTCGATGTGTATATACAGGTCACGTAAGACGGCAGGGAATGGTTCAGTCGATGTGTATATACAGGTCACGTAAGACGGCAGGGAATGGTTCAGTCGATGTGTATATACAGGTCACGTAAGACGGCAGGGAATGGTTCAGTCGATGTGTATATACAGGTCACGTAAGACGACAGGGAGTGGTTCAGTCGATGTGTATATACAGGTCACGTAAGACGGCAGGGAATGGTTCAGTCGATGTGTATATACAGGTCACGTAAGACGGCAGGGAATGGTTCAGTCGATGTGTATATACAGGTCACGTAAGACGGCAGGGAATGGTTCAGTCGATGTGTATATACAGGTCACGTAAGACGGCAGGGAATGGTTCAGTCGATGTGTATATACAGGTCACGTAAGACGGCAGGGAATGGTTCAGTCGATGTGTATATACAGGTCACGTAAGACGGCAGGGAATGGTTCAGTCGATGTGTATATACAGGTCACGTAAGACGACAGGGAGTGGTTCAGTCGATGTGTATATACAGGTCACGTAAGACGGCAGGGAATGGTTCAGTCGATGTGTATATACAGGTCACGTAAGACGGCAGGGAATGGTTCAGTCGATGTGTATATACAGGTCACGTAAGACGGCAGGGAATGGTTCAGTCGATGTGTATATACAGGTCACGTAAGACGGCAGGGAATGGTTCAGTCGATGTGTATATACAGGTCACGTAAGACGGCAGGGGGTGGTTCAGTCGATGTGTATATACAGGTCACGTAAGACGACAGGGAGTGGTTCAGTCGATGTGTATATACAGGTCACGTAAGACGGCAGGGAATGGTTCAGTCGATGTGTATATACAGGTCACGTAAGACGGCAGGGAATGGTTCAGTCGATGTGTATATACAGGTCAC